TGAGCAGCGCCAAGCTGCCTTTGTTCTGAGAGCTGAGAATCTGACAGCTGGAAAGGACCTCAGAGGTTTGGAGCTCCACCCCTTCGTTTTAGGTTTAAAGAAGAGGGAAGCTCTTCTGACCCTGGTCTCAAGCTGATGTATCCTCCTCCATCCAGGGCGGAGTCACTCACTGACCTTAAGGCACAAATGGTGAACGCGCTTGCTAACGGAAAAGTTGAGGGGTTCAGGGTCCCTCAGAAGCCTCTTGGAAGAGAAAGACCTGTTGATTCACTTCTGAAAAGTTGGCCACTGGAATCCCAGGGCTCCTCTGAGGTGCATGAGTTGGAGTTGTCTTGCTGACAGCTGTTCTTTTGGAGTAAGGGTCAGACATCATACAGTGTCAACAGGGCTCACTATGGGACAGTGGTGCATGGAGTCCGCTTTCCAGAAGCTCTTGTTCAGCGGGCAGAGCACCACCCTTGCCTGGGTCCCCTACACGCAAGCACTGTGCTGAGAAAGCCATACATCTGTTTGCCATAACTGAAGGTCATTTCTTTCTCCCAGCAATCTCATGAAGTTGCCTTATGGCCTCCATTTAGCAGATTCAGGTGCCGAGGCTCCGAGACCTTCAGTGGCCAGAACTGCGGCAGGGAGGAGGTGGGCCTGAGAGGGCCGCCACGGACAGGTGCCCCCAGAGGGCTGTGGCAAGGGTGGGCAGTCCCTCTGGGGAAGGGCATCTCTCTTCTACTACACCCTGAATCATCCCCTCAAAAAAGGGACCAGCTCACCTGCCCTGAGAACAGAGCCCCACGCTGTCTTCTCTAATCTCCCGCCTTCCACCCCTGTTCCCAGGCTGAGGCCTTATCGCTCAGGCCCTGCAGTGGTTCAGAACCGCCAAATCCCTTCCCGCGCTTGGTGCTATCACCCAACAGCCCTTCACAGGATTGTGGGGGAGTGCTTGGAGGCATGGGGAACGGAGCCAGCCATGCTCAGTATGGGGGTGGGGAGCATGTAGAACCACCCAAAAATGTTCTTTGCCTGTTGGGTTCCCTTCGGAAGCCTCACAGGACACAGAGGGCCAGCCAGGAAAGGCCTTGGGTCAGGTTGTCCAGCCTGCTCCCCACCCCCCCCCTTCATGAATTTGGTCTTTGCTTTCTTCCCCAGTTCCCTCACGAGTTGGGGTAGTGACTAATAAGCTGCACTGTCCGCCACTCAGTTTCTGGATTTGGGGGTGAGGCCCTTCCACCACATCCACAGCAAAACCTTACATCTCTATCTGCGTAGGATTTTCTAGCAGGTCCTCTTGGGCCTGGAGTCCCACAGCTCATCAGACCTCCCAGGGAGAAAGAAAGCCGCTCTCTGGGGATCAGCCATTGGGCTGGGGACAGGAACCAGGCACAGTCTTGCTCCAAATTTACTCAGTCATGTGGTTCTGATTGTGAATGTCTAACTTGCTACTGGCTACTGCCTGCCAGGCCCCCTGTGATAGGCACTAGATGCATATGGCCCCGGGAAGTGATGGTCTCATTCACAATTGCATCTTGTAGAAAAAAAAGCTAGGCCCAGAGAGGTTATGCATAGCAGGTGAGAGGGAATTCTGACTCTAAAACCTAAAGTTGGGCTACCTCTTTCTATGGCCTCCATCAGAACTCAAATGCCACTTTAGATTTGTAGTCCACAGTGTAGAATCTGGAGATATCGCCACCACTGCCTTTCCTGTGCTTCCTGAGTGAGGGGTAGCCTGAGTCCGGTGTTTTCTGGAAAGTGGTGTCCAGCTTCAGGAAAGAATTTCTACATGTGGAGGGTCAAGTCCTCCATCCCTCCTAACCTTCTCACTGTTCTTCCCTGGCAGGTGTAAGGTGTACGTTGAGAATGCCTCGCTCCTTCCTGGTGAAGAGTAAGAAGGCTCATACCTACCACCAGCCCCGAGTCCTGGAGGATGAGCTGGTCTGGCCTCCTGCCCTGAGCTTTGGTGAGTCACCATCCACTGCACCCACGAGGGTACCCTGCCCTAGAACCATCAGCAGCAGCCATCCCACCTGAAATAGCTCCGTCTTCCATGCTTAGAATGAGGAGGAGCTTGATAAATGTTGGTTAAGTGAATGAATGAATGAATGCACCCATCTCTTCTGACTCCAATTGCCTGTGTTTTCATAGTGGCCAGGGACCAGGTCTCAAGCAATGGCCCTGCCCTCAACACCTTGTTCCCAAACCAGACCCTGGATTGGACTAGCCTTAAGCAGGAGCCTGAATCGGAGTTGGATCGGAACTTGACCAAGATGGCCTTGGTATCAGGTATTAAGCCAAGGGGGGCATGCTAAGAGTGGGGATGGACAGATCTTTGGAGCTGTGGAGCCCAGGGAAGGAACAATGAGGTTATTTGGATGCAATCTGGGCTCTATAGCCTCTGTTTAAACCCTTCCTGGCTGGGGAGCTTACTCCCTTCTAGTATCTCAGAAGGTGTAGGCAGGTCAGGAGACAGCAATTGGGAAGGTTGATGTAGTGGTTGAAATGAGTGGTCTTGATGGGCAGCACTTCTGGACTCGAAAAGCTGAGAAGCCACAATGAGGACACAGTGGGACCCCCCCCTCCAGTATTTTGTGCTTTACACCACATTCCTCAATGTGGGGTACTAAGGGGATGGTGTGGGGATCAGGAGTCTTAGTTTGGGTTTTTGGTTCCTAGCACTTTCTGCTTTTTTCTGTAAAACAAAAATAAATAAATAAAATAAATAGTAATAATAAATAAGAAAATAAATATTCCGGCATTCAAAGAAAAATTAATGCAGAGAGGACACAAGTGAGATGCTAACATTTGCCATTGGGCTTCCCTTTCACAGCCCAGTCACCACCATCATTATCGTTCCTCTAACATCCTCACCTCCCTCCCCGTCCACACCATCTTCATCTTCCTCTCTTCTCTTATCCTCACCTTACCCACCACCTCCATCACCTTCACCTCCATCCCCACTCTCACCACCCTTGTCTTCGTCTTCTTTGTCCCCTTGTCATCCTTCCCTTCCCCACCGCCCTCTTCATCCTCACATCTCTCACCACGCTTGCCATCATGGCCAACAGATAGTAGGTGTTCCTTGAGTTCCATGCACTGTGATGGAACACTTGCAAGCATGATCTTACGGTGTCCTAGTCAATGAGCCAGGAAATAGCATTTTCTCCCAGGTGACAGACGGGGACACTGGGTCTCAGAAAGGAGGAGTCCGGCCCCAGGCTCTCTCATCTGGCAATGGGAGAGACAAGGGTCAGACCTGGGCCTGGGGAGCCCTATAACCTGTCACTGAGCAAGCTCATGCTAAGCAGATGTGAGCTCACCTGTAATGTGCCCTTGTGTCCACAGAGGGCCCTGTTGTGATGTCCCGAGCCCAGGACAGTGACTCACCGCACTCTGACTCCTCACCGTTCTACAAACCCAGCTTCTCCTGGGACACCTTGGCCTCAACCTACAGCCATGCCTACCAGCAGTCCCCCTCCACCATGCAGTCAGCCTTCCTGGAGCACTCTGTCAGCCTGTACGGCAGCCCGCTGGTGCCCAGCACTGAGCCGCCCCTGGACTTCAGCCTCCGCTACTCCCCAGGCATGGACACGTACCACTGCCTCAAGTGCAACAAGGTGAGTGGCTGAGGGAAGAGCTGGCCGGTGCTCCCTGCCCAGCATCCCCCCACAGCATGCTGGCTGCAGCAGGGCCTGGCAGTTCCTTATGCTGCAGGCCTTGGGAGTCCTCGGGGCATTAAGGACCAGACTGCTCATCTTCACTGTTGTTTTTTGGGACCTGACTATGTGCTTGGTCTTGTGTTAAATTCTTGATGGGCAGGACCTTGTGACCCTGGGAGATGGGCTTCATGACCTCCAGTGAACAGATGAAGGGAAATGAGTTACATGCCCAAGAGCACATAGCAAATAGATAGCAGAGCCAACATTCAAACTAGGTCTGGTCAACTCTTGACTAGTAACTTCGAGAGGCTATTGAACCTTTAGAAGGAACCTTCCAGATCTACCCCCACCAGCCACCATTTGACAGGCAGAGAAGATCACGCCAGAGTGGGAGAGGGGTCAGCCTGAGACACACAGCAGTAGAGCCTGCAAACCTGTGGTGCAGCTGAGGGTGGGGGGGAGCCTCTCTGCTGCCCCCAGTGGCCTCATGCTCTGTCGTCGCCCCCAGGTGTTCTCCACCCCCCATGGGCTCGAGGTGCACGTCCGCCGCTCCCACAGTGGGACCCGGCCCTTTGCCTGTGATATCTGCGGCAAAACTTTCGGCCACGCAGTGAGCCTGGAGCAGCACGCACACGTTCATTCCCAGGTGGGCGGTCAGTCAAGCACAGGGCTCCATTCCCACTCTGTGCTCCCCCTGGGAACCTCGGGGCGGGGCGTGGTCCCTTAGTTGCTTTTGTGAGTAGCACAGAGGAAGAGGTGGTTTCCTATTTCCTCTGGTCAAGGTCTCCAAGCCCCCACCCTTAGCACATTTCAGCCCCTGCTTGATAGAGTCCGGTTCATGTTCAATTGGGAGAAGAGTTTGTCATAAGATATTAGGGGCAACAAGATGTCTTGTTTGATCAGAAAGAATCCCATCCTTTAGTGATCCAGGCAGGTGCCCTCAGCTCTGAGGCCCTCAACTCTCGGAAGCTTGGAGTTTGACTGAAATGTTCATCTCCTTCCATTTAGTGTCCTCCTGGGACAGGAGTATCATCTTTAATATTCCATCCAGGGAGAGTTCCTGAAACTGACGTCCCTAATAGTGGGAGCAGGTGGGGGGATATAAACCATATAGATAGCTTCCCCCAAGTGCACGTGCCAGGTCAGGCACCAGTTCTTCCCCTCAGTCCCCCGAAAGTCCTTTCAGGTCCTTTTGGATCGTTGCCATCTTCACTTTGATGATGTCCAGTGATTCTCAGGGAGGTTCATTGTGGTCAAGATTGGACACTAATAATTAGGACTTCTAACCAAATTGCTGCCCATAATCATCCCTGCCTCAAGGAACCTCATTCTGGGTCAAATTTCATGTGATACAAACCCTTTGGAAAAACTCCCAGAGAAGTCAGTCCTCAGTCACTCAACAAGTATTTTTTAGGCTCATTTTGAACGAAACATTGTGATATTGACAAAAAAGTCCTAAAGGAGACCATCAGACCTCAAATCTCAGCACCTCTTGGGAGGCAGGACAGGGGTCCCCCTAGGCCCATCTCCTTCAGACCCCTGTCTTTGAGGCCACCCCAATGGAGTCTCCTGTTCCCCAGGGGATTCCTGCCCGGTCCAGTCCTGCTCTCAGCTTGGCCTTCCCGGGCGGCGAGGCCCTGCCTGCGCCTGACTCCCCAGGGCCTCGTTTCCCCCGGCAGGAGCGTAGCTTCGAGTGCCGGATGTGTGGCAAAGCCTTCAAGCGCTCGTCCACCCTGTCCACCCACCTGCTCATCCACTCGGACACTCGGCCCTACCCTTGCCAGTTCTGCGGCAAGCGCTTCCACCAGAAGTCAGACATGAAGAAGCACACCTACATCCACACTGGTGAGTCCACCTGCCCACCCATAGGCCAGCTAACTGCTTGCCCCCACCCCTCTTACTGGACCCAGGCTCATCCAAGCTAGCAGTCCTGATACTGCCTAGATTGCCATACTAACCTGGGTGGGAGGCGCTCATCTTCATCTTTCATGGTCATGGGCCCCTGGCTTTAGGCGTGGGTCAGGTGACAAAGGGGCCAGAGGACTGGCTGCACTGTGTTACCCAAACAACACTCAAAGACTCAAAAAGCACCATGGGTGCCAGCAACAGTTAAGTGTTTGACTATCAGCCAAAAAGTTGCCTGTTCAAACCCACTCAGAAGTGCCTAAGAAGATAGGCCTGGTTGGAAGTAGATCAACCAGTAGATAGGCACCTGCTGGCATGCTGAGCTTGGTATGCATGCGCTTACACGTATGTCCTTGCTAATCTCTGGTGAGTAATTTCACATGGGTTTACTCCATCTTTGCCATGATAGGGGACAGGCGAAGTTGTGCCCCATGAATTAGTAAGAAATCACAATTGGCCCTGTGTGGGCCTTGCTTCTCAGACCCCGGAGGTTTGCAGGCCCTGGGGAATGTTCTCTTCTGGGCACATGTGCCTGGCTGCCTTGAGTCAGAATCGTCTCAATACCTAGGCTGGGGGACAACAGCGAAAGGAAACCCGCCAAAATGCCAAGACTGGTGGTCTCCAGGATTGGTCAAGATGTGTGCCTCCATCATCATTTAGTCCTTAGATATTTCCAGATGCTTCTTTTGGGTCCAGCTGTGCCAGCTGCTGGGATAGACTGATAAGATAGACCCGGTGCCTGTCCTAATGTTCAGCATCGGTGGAGTAGAGTCTGATTTTTTATTTTGCTTCTCTGCCTTTTAGAATTATTTTCTAAAGTGAGTTGGTTATGAAAGGAATTCTAACAAGGGTTCAGGAAGCAAAGGCAGAGCAGGAGGGTGGCCAGCGTGGTGTGGGCGTCTAACCCTTCCCTTGCTGCCCACAGGTGAGAAGCCGCACAAGTGCCAGGTGTGCGGGAAGGCCTTCAGCCAGAGCTCCAACCTCATCACCCACAGCCGGAAGCACACAGGTTTCAAGCCCTTTACCTGCGAGCTGTGCACCAAGGGCTTCCAGCGCAAGGTGGACCTGCGGCGTCACCGGGAGAGCCAGCACAGCCTCAAGTGAGGGCACGCCCTCTCCCAGTCCTGACTGGCCACGTGGTGCCCCACACTTGGAGGCCAAATGGAGGCCAGCTTCACACACCTGGATCTAGAGGTGGCACTGGACTGCGCAGGGTGGGGTGGGGGGGTCTTTGAGTTTGTTACAAGACCCAGAAATGTGCTCTGTAAACTTGGGCAAGTCACTTCTCCTCTTGGGATCACTGTGTCTCCTGCTGTAAAGTAAGGGAGCTGGGCCGGAGTTTGCCCAGGTGGCTTTTTCTGCACATGCCCCAGTGCCTTGTCCAGAGGTGAGTCCCCCAGTGCACTCCAGGTGCCAAGAATAGACCAGAGGTGGAACTGACTCGGAATCTCCTCCTTGCTGGCTGCCCACCTCTGGCTGGGATCTGGTTACCTTGGTATTCACAGACCCTCTTTCTGGAAGCTGCAGATGGTCAGGGCTGCCTCCTGCCTCACTGGACAGTCTGGCACCCCTCTACTTCAGCTGTGCATGCTGGCTGCCCCGGCTCTGACCAGCGCTCAGCTAGCCGTGGAGCTTCCGGTCCTGCTCTGGGCAGTGGGGCCAGAGAAAGCAGCAGTTACTGTTATCAGAAGCTGGCTCCTCTCAGCTGCTATAAATAAAGATGTACAGTTGCATTTACATGTCTGATTGTGGTGAGTACAGTACATAGAAAACACGACATTTACCATTTCTACACTTGACATGTTAATGAGGGAACTCTGGTGGCCTAGAATTTAAGGAGCTGTGCAGCTAATCCAAAAGTCTCTCCTCTCTGGTGGTTCGAACCCACCAGAAGCCCCATGGGAGGAAGTTGGGCAATATCCTTCTGTACTGTTTACAGCCTTGGAAATTCAGTTGAGGTCTGCTGTGAGCTGGTCCAGGCTGCAGAGCAATGAGGGGAACTGTTGAGTTTGACAGTTTAGTTCAACCATGGCTATTCAGATTCATTTACATTTGACAAGCACTTCTCATCCATCTACTGAATGCAAAGCACTGAAGGAGATTTTAGGGGTTTGAAGGATTTAACAAACACAGAGAGGCTACAGATGTACAACTCACACACAAGTTGGGGAGCCATATAAGCAAACTAAAAGCCATAATAGAAGCAACCAGAGACCGCATGTGACGTGATGACAGTGAGGAGCAGTCAGTGCACTTGGAAGGTTCTCTCAGCTTCCAATGGAAGGCTTCTGTAACAAATTTATTCACTTGTGATTTTGAAAATCAGAAATCCAAAATGACTCTTGTTGTTGCTGTTGTTGTTATGTGCCATTGAGTCTCTTGTGACTCATAGCGATCCTATGTACAAGAGCCCTAAGACCTGCTCTATCCTGTGCCAACCTTACTGTCTCTGACACACATACTCTCATCGCCCCAGTCACTGAATCAGTCATCTCATGGAGGGTCTTCCTCTCCTGTGCTGTCCCTCCAACCTCCCAAGCATGATCGATCTCCCTCTCTAAGGACTGGTCCCTCCTTGTAACATGACTTTTAGAGAACTAAAATAAAGGTGTTGGCAGAGCTGTGTTCTTTCTGGAAGATGCAGGGGAAAATACATTTCCTTGTCTTTTTCAGCTTCAGGGGACCTGGTTGCATAATGTTATGTGTTGGGCTGCTAGCTGACAGGTCAGAGGTTCAGATCTCCCTGCTGCCCCACAGGAGACAAGTGAGCAGTCTCTTCTCATAAAGATCCACCTGATAGGTCTCTGTGAGTTGGAATCAACTCCATGGCAGTGGGTTATAAATTTTATTTCATTTTTAACTTTATCCCTTGGCTCATGACCCCTTCCTCTGACTTTGAAGCTGCTCACTCACGTTTGCTTCCATTGTTCTATTTCCTTTTTTGCCTTCTCCCTTTGGGCCCACCTGGATAATCTGGGCTACTCTTCCCATCACAAAGTCCTTAATCACTGGAAGGCTGAGTAGTGATCTCTGAAGATATCCATGAGCTCTGGGTGTCCATAGGGAGTTGTGCTGCTAACTCAAAGGTGATGCCTGTCTGGTGTTTCAAAGCCACCAGTGACTCTGTGGGGGTCCTTGAACCTGTGAATGTTACCTTACGCAGCAAAAGGAATTTTGCAGGTGTGGTTATATTGAGATGCTGGAATTATCCTGGATCATCCTGTTGTTGTTAAGTGTCGTTCAGTTGCTTGTGACTCCTAGTGACCCTATGTACAACAGCTCTGAACCCTGCTCTATCCTGAGCCAACCTCATCATCTTTGACACATTCATCCCCATTACCCTAGTCACTGAGTCAATCTATCTCATCCAGTGTCTTCCTCTCTTGTTCTGTGCCCCATCCTCCCAAACATGAGCTTCAAAGTCCTTGCCTCAAGGAGCAGCCTGGTTTCACCCTCGCCAGGGTGAACCTGTTTGTTCTAGCAGTCCATGGTATATTCAATATTCTTCTCCAGCACCACAGATCAAAGGCATCAATTCTCCTTCTATTATCCCTTGTCATTGTCTGGCTTTCTGATGCATAGCAAGTGATTGCAAAGACTGTGACCTACATCAGGCACACCTTAGTCTCCAGACTAACATAATTTCTCTTCATTACTATGGTAAGGTCCCTGATAGCAGATATTTCCAGTGCAATTCATCTACTAGTAGATCCTAAATGTAATCTCAAGTGTCTTTAAAAAGGGATACTACACCACAACAAGATAAAGGTAAATAATCCAATTGAAAAATGGGCACAGGATATGAACAACAGATACTTCACCAAAGAAGACATTCAGATGGCTAACATACACATGAAAAAATGTTCAAAATCCCTAGCTCTAAGAGAGATGCAAATCAAAACAACTATGAGATATCATCTAATGCCAGTAAGAATAGCAAAATGTAACAGAACAGCAACAACAAATGCTGGTGAAGTTGTGGAGTAACTAGCACCCTTCTTCACTGTTGGTGGAAGTGTAAAATGGTGCAACCACTGTGGAAGGTGGTATGGTGCTTTCTCAAAAGTTGCAAATAGAGATACCATTTGACCCAGGAATTCCACTACTGGGAATATACCCACTACTGGGAATATACCCAAAAGAGACCATAACTGACACCCAAGCAGATATATGCACACCCATGTTTATCGTGGCTTTGTTCACAATAGCAAGGAGTTGGAAACAACCTAAGTGCCCA